AAATAGATTTTTAATAATCAACTCTGACATTAATGAGATAGCCAACAACACCATAATTGAAGCTAGGGATGCACATTACTTTGAAAATATTTTTCCTTACAAGACCAGAATAAACAACACAGGCCCTAGCTCTAATAATTCAGATCCTAGTTCTAATCAAGGTGAAACTAGTTCTAAACAAATTAGACCACTAGAAAGTCCAGAGGAGCCTAGGAGAAGTAAAAGAACTAGAATAGAAAAGGTCCATGAAGATTTCTATGCATTACTTGTAGAAGATTCTCCAGTTACATTTGAAGATGCAATGAAATCAGTAGATGCTCCATTTTGGAAGGAAGCTATAAATAATGAGATACAATCTATAGTTCAAAATCATACTTGGGAACTAACTGATCTTCCTTCAGGATGTAAAACCATAGGATGTAAATGGGTGTTTAAGAAGAAACTTAGACCTGATGGAACAATAGATAAATATAAAGCCAGATTAGTAGCTAAAGGATATACCCAAAAGTCTGGTATTGATTATTTTGATGTCTATTCTCCAGTAGCTAGGATTACTACCATTAGAGTCCTCATAGCTCTAGCATCCATTCACAAATTAATAATACATCAAATGGATGTTAAAACTGCATTTTTAAATGGAGACTTAGATGAAGAAATTTATATGGATCAACCTGAGGGATTTATAGCTTCTGGACAAGAAAAGAAAGTATGCAAGCTTATTAGATCACTATATGGTCTCAAACAAGCCCCAAAACAATGGCATATGAAATTTGATGAAATTATACTATCTTATGGATTTGTAATTAATCAAACAGATGAGTGTGTATACCATAAAATAGATAAAAACAACAAAATTGTGATATTATGCCTATATGTTGATGACATTCTTATTTTTGGTTCTGACATACAAATCATAAATGATATCAAACACTTTTTATCACAAAATTTTGACATGAAAGATTTAGGTCAAGCTGACCTAATTCTTAATACTAAAATCATGAAAAATGAGAATGGATATGTGCTATCACAATCACATTACATAGAAAAAATCCTCAAGAATTTTTATGATCCAAACTGTCAACCTGTTTCCACTCCATATGATCCTAATGTACATCTAAAGAAAAATACAGGTCATCCTCAATTACAAAGAGAATATGCACAAATAATTGGATCATTAGGATTCCTAACAAACTACACCAGACCTGACATTGCTTATGCAGTAAATAGACTTAGTAGATATACATCAAATCCTGATAAGAGTCACTGGGATGCTTTAGAAAGAATTTTGAGATACCTAAAAGGAACTATAAATTATGGTTTACACTATAAAGGTTATCCATCTGTACTAGAAGGTTATTCAGATGCAAATTGGATTAGTGACTCAGTAGATGTAAAATCCACCACAGGATTTGTGTTCCTTTTAGGAGGAGGAGCTGTGTCCTGGAAATCTACTAAACAAACTGTAATGGCTAGAAGTACAATGGAATCAGAAATGATAGCTCTTGATACTACTAGTATAGAAGCTGAATGGTTGAAAGATTTACTAACTGAAATTCCACTAATGCAAAAACCATTACCAGCTATTTCTATTCATTGTGATTGCAGGTCAGCGATTGACAAATGCCATCAAGAGAATGCAAATGTGAAGATGAATCGACACTTGAAAGTGCGACATAAATCCTTGAGATATAAGATGAAAAACCATATAATAGCCTTAGATTTTGTAAGATCAGAGAAAAATCTTGCAGATCACTTAACTAAAGGCTTATCTAGGGCAGTGGTCCTAGAATCATCGAGGGGGATGGGGTTAAGCCCATAAGAAAAATCACTGCAGTGGCAACCCAACCTCGCAGAGGTTCAATGGGTAGAAACAAACTGAATGAGTGATTAATTGTGAGGAGCACTGAATTTATTTGCTCCCATCCCTAGGATGATCAGTGCTCATAAAAAGCAAGTGAAAGGTTGAGTCTAACTCTTAATGAATCCAAGACCCATGAGGCAGGATGCTTACTTGCTCGCATCCTTATTAGGATTCACCTATATGTGTGTAGTTGTGAGGCCGCGACTATGGGATCAGGGCTGCTCCCTAGTAACACACATGAAAGATACCTGCGCAAGGCCGATAATAGCGCAACCCGTTTAGAATTCTTCAAAACTGTACTATGTGTGCTTTCTGTAGAAATCCGATAAATAGGACTGGTTCAAGGCGAAGTCCACCAAGCTCTCACGGATCTATACAATTGTCACTAAGTGAAGGTTCAAACCGAAAGGTACCTCCACCTATTACATAGTATAAGGGAACCAGCAATCGTATTTATTTTTAAGTTCTTCTTTTATTGTTATTTCTGAATAATTTTAAGTTTTAAGTTATGTGGGGGATTGTTGGAGTTATATAATAAAGATAACTTAAAACTTGGGCTTGTAGAGGAAAAGAGGAAAAGTTTAGTCCCACATAGGAAATGGAATAGGAAGGAAGAGTCTTTATAAGCCTTCCCTTTCTCTCCTATGCCTAGAAGAAAACAAAGGTTATGCTCCACACCACACACGCGCGCGCCGGCCGGGCCGGGCTCGGGCTCGGGTTCGGGTCGGGTCGGGTGGCGCGCGCACACGACCTGCGGTCACGAATGTAGCTCCGGACCGAGGGGCCCTTAATCTGCTACATTTTTATTTTTGAATAACTAAAATATAATTTTTATTTTTTAACAATTAACATGTGATAAATATTTTGTAACAGAAATATTTTGTAACGGTAAAAATTTATTAGTGTTATTAAAAACGTGATAAATATTTTGTGAATTTATTATGTAACGGAAGCGTTTTTTAATAACGGCTAAGTTTTATTAACGTGAGTAAAACGTATTAACTACGGGTTTATGTATAACGACTGTTTAACCCTATAAAAGGACCAAAACCGGAATAGTTTAATACAGTGAAAAATCAGCAGATCTCTTCTCTCCTTCTCTTTTCAAAATAGTTCTCTGTTTACGCAGGTTTCCTGAAAGTCTAGAAGAATTCGCAAAACCTTTTTGAAGCTCGTGACGACGAGAAGGAGGTCGCCTGACCGAGGGTCGTCGTATCTCCGAGATCTATTGCCGCGTAGCCCTGTAC